AAAGAGTACCCATCACATTTCAGTGAACCTAGGACTATACACCATATTAGTTTTTGGTAAATATGTATGCTTCTTAATCACTTAACATAATTAATTAATACTGATATCTCAAGTATTGATCATCACATATTTTAGCACATATAGCTGTAGCAATATTTGATGTCAAAATCAGTCTACAGTTTATTCGTTTTAGTTCACTGTTAATCTGATCTTTGAGAAAAATGGTAAAATAATACAAATAAAAAGCCATTTTAGCAGCAGTTTTCATAAACCACAATGAAAACACCTTTTCTCATTAAAAACCCAGTAAAATACTTCTGGACGTCAAAAACACTGTATATCTTATTACTCCATATGTTATTTCTGGATTATGCACGTAATTTTTATTTCCAGATCTGAAAATCCTAAGTGGGTCTTTTTCATGATTTTCATCCAAAATTACCTCTCCCAACACCCCTGAGAGAACAACTGAGCATGCTAAGAATAAATAATTACCTTAGATTGTATTGCTAGGGTTTTTAGTGATGTTATGACCTGGTCATGACCTTGATCTGAATCAGTGACATATGGGTCGTACCATCACCAATCTCAGAAGAAAATGTAGAGGGGTGTCACGACTACATTTTGATGGGAATTATAGTGGTGATACTGAAACAAACCCAGGTCCTGGTAATATACAAAGACCTGAATTAACAAAGAAGTCAAGTTGTTATTAAAGGTACATCAAAGTTTACTCAGATTTATAAGACATCCTTTGGTTGCACTTGTGTACTCTGAGATTTTAGACCCAGGTCAATGAAAGTTTTCAGTTATCAGATTAAGGGAAATCACTTTATGATGAGTTGTACCCACATAGAGTACATATTAATTCAATTGTTTGCAGATGTTCCATGTATTATTTTAACATGAGTATTTTATAATTAAATAACGGGGACTGTGACATTCATGTCTTGTTACTTTTGTGTAGCATTCTACATTAAGGTGGTTGCTAACGGTAACTGATCTGATTATAATGTTGTGTCGTATCATTTTAGTTTCATCTGATTAATAAGTCTCTCTAAGTGCCATGGTCTACTTGGTCTGCTCCTGACTTCTGTGGACCGGTCTTTCGCCATTTCCCTGTCTGTCATCGTTGTAATTCAATTTTCACTTCAATTTCTTCTTTTTTTCATAGAAGTAAGCAGCCTTGTGTTTGTTTTCCAAAATATTTGAATATCCCGATTCTTCTGCAGTGCTTTCCATGAATGGTCAGAAAGTTCTAGAAAGTCATTTTAAATGATTTTGTTGGTAATTTAAATATTTTCTTACAATTTTTGACGCCAATGATAAAAATATCTCTGGCTCTTAAGTTCAGATAAAGTCTTGAATTTTGTATGGAATATGTTAGACCTCTGACTAACCATCTGTGAGGGCAGTATAACACAAATGCTGGGATTAAATTCTGCAGTTAGGTGTACTAGACAAAATGTACCCAAATCTGATACTTCAGTCCCAAATCGTTTGTCTTTATGTGGCTGCAAAAATTGATGTTATGTATTATATAACCTTTTTGAAAACATCTGAATTGATCCACAAGATGGATTTTTTTTTTGAGACTTGAGTACTGTATTACTTATTATCATGATATTTTGAGTGTTGTTAGTTTTGTTAATAAATATGTGATCTTTTTTTTTTTCGTGCTGCAGTAAAATCAAGGAAAGATGAAGATATTAGATCAGAATACCTCTTTATTAATTTTTAATACATGCATAGAAAGTGTACTACTTCCCACTTACTGTCACTGGATTTTATTTCAGCTGATGTAAATTCTAGTGAATATGCTCAAAATGTTAAAAAAGGGGTATTTGACCAGTTTGTTAATGCTAGTGTATGTTTAATATCATTTCATTGTTTCTATGGTGATGCATACTAATCATGATTGTTGAAATTGTATTGAAAACTGACAACATTATTATGATCCATCAGGAATTTGATGTGTGTATTTTGATATATCCTGTAGGCATTGTGAAATGTTATGGATCATTTTACTTATACCAGTAAGGTTTCTTTTTCAGAACAGATTGACCAAATTTTGCTTCAAAAATACAGTATAATGAATGGGATTCAATAAGAAATTACCGTAATACTAGTATCGTCTCCTCATTTTATACATTTTCAGGATGACTATTAGAATATTGTGGTGTGAAAATCTTATTTTATTTGATCTATTATTACATGTGCACTTATGAATATTACAGGTGTGTTTCCATGGCGAAAATAATCATATTTCAAAGATTCTGTATACAATACATTTTTGGTGTATAATGGCTTCCTTTGGAGGTGTGCTCCTAACAGACCAAATTTTGTACTCTCTCAAAGGTGTTTTACAGTAAATTCTTAGGCTACATTAACATACATGTATTTTAAAGATTGCCCAAAGTTACAATATTGTAGGTATTTAAAATATATATATATGTATATTTTTGTGATTTGCATAATTGCATGCAAATCAGAAATATATTTAGACACCAACTTTGTTTTTTTTCTTCAATAGATTTACCAGGGGTTTACATTGTTTGACAGTTGTGTGATGTATTACTGTAGAACTATAACAAAAAAATAAAGTGCCAATATTGGAATGGATGTTTTCCAAACAAAAAGAAAGAAACCTTTCCTTTGAAACTGTTTGTAACATATTTTCAAAAGTATAAACAGATTCTCATTAATAACTGTGTATATAGCAATTTTAATTCATGTGAAACGTATATTGAATTCCATTGGTTTGAAATTTCGCTTGACAAATTGTTGATTGAGGTCATTGAGTACCTAATTAACATACAATCATGATAGATGAAACAAATTCTTGCAGGAAATGTTTCAAACTATAAACAGAATGAAAAGATTCCAAGAAAAATTAATATTTGAAATGTTGTCTCCATTGTAGATTGATCATGTACTTGAAATTAGAAACGAAGCACTTACATGGATTTTTTTTGTATTCGTTTTTTTATTTCCCAATATCATAGTTAATTTTGGTTAGCAGTGAAGTTAATTTATTTTCCAATTTGATGTAAGAAAAAAAGAAGAAAAAAAATCTTGCCAGTTTTCGTTTGCTGTTGCACGTTTAAATGATAAAATTTAATTTCGAACATTTCTACTGCAGTCTTGTTGAATATAGTACCACACTTGTACACAAAAATAATGAATATACCTTGAACACAAGTTTGTACGACACATTCCCAAAACCAGCAAGAATCAAAGCTTTTTTCTTAGCATGTTCCTATGTTACCCACAATGCCTGAGTGCTCTTAGGGCAGGGTAACACTCGTCAAAAACAACATAGTGTTTCGGCTAATATACAGTGCAAAGATAACATGTCATGCTTACAGAAACAATCATTAAGTCTGGGTCTTTGTTACTAACGTAAAATAAAACATAGTTTTCTTTGTACTGGAATTTATTATTCTGTGTAATTGTATTAGAGAAAAGCAATGTGGGTGAGTATTTATTCCAAAGAATACCAATCTAAAAACAGATTACCGCAGTGCCCACATTGGGTGTGTTGCAAATATTTCAATTAAAGCTGGTTGTATCTCTTCGTCAGTGAATAGCTTTGTCGATAACTTGGTCTAAATTAGTTGATAAATAAGTCAATCTTAGCGTACCCCATTTTCTGTTTGATACTTAAAGTATTGTTGCTGTCGGAGAAAATATATGGTATGCTAAATGAATGACCATTCACTAAGCTATAAATATTTTATTTCTTTATTTTCCATTTAAATATACATTTAATTATTGTCACATCCCAATCTGTTACAGCCACTATTATTGATTGCCACAATAAAAAATATAATTTAAAAAAAAAAAGTTTACTTTTCTTGTTTGTCTTCTTGATCTTGTGTTTATTTTCTCTATGAATAACTTCCTACTTCTAGATACATATACATTTATACGCTGGCTAAATGATTGACATTTGTTTTGTGCTATGCCCTCACAACACCCTTTTGTGTTTTGATAAAGCGGAAGGGTCGTCACCTGCGCATGCACGGGAATTGAGTCCTAAGCAACGATAACAACACGCGCTAAAAACGCAAAGGCTCAAGGGTAGACGCTTGTTTGTGGCTATCTAACGCATGTGCAGGTGACGACCCCCCTATCTTTAAGAGTCGTGCAAGCCAAAGTGACTCGTAAGATTGTTCCCAATTGACTACACAACCCTTACACATAACAGTAAAGCCAAATCAGAAAAAGCAGTTTATTATACCCCGGCATGTTGCCAGTGTCCATATTATTGCATACAGAAACATTCACACTGTTATACTGAAAACATTGTACACTAGATCGGATCAACATGTGTCATGACCATATATGGTTATGCGACCTCATTAAAATACATAAATATCATATCTGCAGCACTATTGCAGATAGAGACATTCAACCAGTTATCTGATCAATATGTTTAATAACCGTATATGTCACGTGATCTGATTAAAAATGCACAACTATCATGTCTGGAGCACTATTGGAGATAGAGATAGGCTGTCATAGTAACATTGAAGTCAGGTGACCGGCATGACCAAGGCATAAACAAGTTGACTAGACCTAACGGGTTATACTGTACCATAAGCCCAACAACAAATCAAAGGACAAATTCAACTTCTATGTCCATGGAAGGGAACTAAAAAACTAAAACCTAAACATATCTTGGGAATAATGAATCGAGAAAAATCGCTGGGGCTATGGAAGACGTAAAAGCAAGGGCTATGACGGCATTTTTCAAAATGAAACAAATGCTGATTCCTGAAGCAATGGTTAAACCAATCATGCTTTTGTTGCAGTGAGATTTGGTTGAGCGAATCCATTTAAGATGATACAAATCACATCTTATGGCTAACCAATCTACACCAATGATCTTGACAAAAAGGGTAAAGATATCTGGGTAACATCTGGTAACATACATTAACAAAAATTTAAATTTGGGTAGTGTATGGAACAACTACAAATCTGAGGACGACAAAAACCTTCAGAAAACAGTTATCAAAACTAGAACAATCATTTGAAATGCGTAGCACAGAAAAAGTGCATGACGACAATAAAGGTTACAAACCATAAAAATAAGTTGCATACCTACAGGAAAATAAAAACAGAATTTGCATATGAAAAATGTCTGCAACGCAGCCACAGTTGTCTATTATGAGTAAAAACGCACACACAATGGAGTAAATGTAGGTTTTTCTTTTCTATCATATACCCAATGAAATACAGCGTGTGTATAATACAGATAGGTAATACCGGTAATGTCACCGAAAGGTAGTGTGATCGACCGGGCAGTTACCACGGTGATGGCCGCCATTTGTGTCCAAAATCGTCTACAACATTGAATAAAAAAAACTAACTTTTCTGCTGCAAACCGTGTATTTAATGAATTGTCCACGTTTCTATTAAACCATTTTCAACCACTTATAGGTCCGTGATTCGGCCGGGAGATATTTAGTACGCCCCATGTCGAGTGCGCCAACAACGGCAGTAATAATAGATCGTGGTTATAACTATTATTAAAATGCTGCAATGTCTTTTTACTATTTTGTGACGTTTCTTGGTGAACATTTCTATAAACTACGCAAAATTAGAACAGTACACAATCTAATTTTGGCTACCATGTAGGATATCCTACCATGTAGGATATCAAGCTTATCGTAGATGGCGCTATGTAATATCTATACATATGCAAATTTTGTCATGATTGTCTCCCAGCATACATTTCAGAATAAGTTTCGTTTGATTTTCTAAGATATGTAGAAGGTGAAATTAATTATTGATAATAACAGATGTTGCAAATATATAATTATAATTAGTAATATTAGTAATTTGAATGTGTTCGAACTAAAAATTGTATTCTCTAATAATTACAATTTATACTCACCGTATCCAATGATGTGATTGTTTAAATACACTACCTCCTGGTTAAGCTAACATCTGTACTCTGGTTTTTCTGCAGACCGCATAAATCTTTCGCCTTTTACTAAAGATTTCCGTGCAGAGGAACAACTAATGAGTCTATAACCAATTTTTGATAACCCTGCTTAAGTGCGGGGTAATATTGAAATGTAATAATAGAACTAAAATTGTCTTCCTTTTTCTAGGCTAGTGGTGACGTCAAATTGTTGTACCAGACTCTTTGATACCAATGTATTTTTTTCACCAAAAGGGTCATGTTTTTAAGATCTTGTTTATCTGTTTGATTGCTCCAAATTACATTTCTGTTGGTGTAAGTCCTATTTTGAATTGAATGAAATATCAAATAAACAAGTAATGTTTATTGCAATTAACAATTTTATTTCAAAAGCAGCATTACACAAAATCAAAAGTTGGCTAATCAACAGCTGTAGTTCACAGGAGGTATGAATATAATATTTTATATTGGTACATAAAGTTGTACTGGTGTGATTGTGATCTGCCAAAATATACAATTCTAGCAACAACAAAAGATATGTATTAGTTGATATAATCATAAATGTACGCAGTCAGAATTTTTTTATAAGACTAAATTTTGTAAAAGTTGCAGTGACTCCCTGTATTTAGAGTTTCAATGCTGCAAAATGTTGATTATTCACGATTAGTGAAAATTATGTATTTATTTCATTACAATGTATCACAGATTACGCTTGTTGATGGAACAGACAGGATTATTGATCATTTTATGTCCGCATAACAGGGATAGAAATCGAAGTGAGACATAAATAATATGGCAGTAAACTAACAAATACATCAAATATTTCATCAACTGACTGAAATTTGTACTTTCTTGGTAGAAACACCGCATACTCTCAAGTACAACTTATTTGAACATTGTTCTGCAGCCCACATGACTGACTGCAGATTTAGGGAAAGTAGATGAAACCATTCAAAAATATTCTAATATGTATTGTAGATATCGCAATACAGTAAACAAATTCATGTGGGAACTTGGATATTATTTACGTACTTACCAGGCCAAATTAGTATTGCAATATCCCTTGACAACATCATTCTTAGCAGTGTTTTTTTACTTGGTAATTTTAATTGAACACAACCATTATCGCCATGGTTTTTAGGTGGTAAAAATCATATATAGAATAAAAACACTGTTTTTTCAATTTGTAGTTTCACCCACGTGTTATTTTGGCAATGAAAAATCAAATTATAGGTGTAAACATGTCTGAATATCATTGCACTCCATATTTATATTACAAACATTGACTGGCATAGTTATTAATCACGGTGCCTGTGGATGGTTGATTTCTTTATGGGTGATGTTTCTGTGTGAAAACCATTTTTTTTTAAAATCAGACTTTGAGCGAAAGAATTGTAAGAAATATTGCTAAACTGATAAATATTTGCACCATAGAGCATTCCACACTTAAACATAATGAATTTTTATTATTTGATCACCATAGTACAATTTAATTTGAAATTCAAACACTCACATCAAATATAGTGACACTTTAAAATGCAAATTGTCAGCGGTTCAATGCAAAGTCAAACAAATGCTGCTAAAAAAAACTGAAATTACAAATAACTGAAAACTGTTCCAAAAAAAAGAAGAAAATAGCAAGTTTAATGATCAGTTTATTTTGATATCCATTGTAAAAAAACACAGGACTGACTTATGCCACAGTCTAAATTATAACTCTCTCTGTTGTTCATACCCATACAGGAGATTATAATAATAGGGAATCTTAAAATATTCCACATAAATCTGATAGGGCTTCCTATTAACGTAAAATGATGTTATAGCCTTGGTGACTACGTTTCTTGTCACTTCATTTGCTATTTGTATTGCGCCAGGTTTCACAGTCACTTTCCTTGTAGTTAAAAATGGCGACTGTGCATGAATTGTAAACATATTCTTCTGTTCGTTGTAGTATATATGAAATACATGTCTCTTGGTGAGAAACCTTAGTATAACAGGCTGGAATATCAGGAATAGATTGACGAAGACAGTAACCAATAAATTATTGTTTAGATTCAAAGATAAATCTATAATTTCAGGGGATAGTAACATATTAATGTTGTACGGTAGGACAGCTGTTGCTATGGCTGCGACTGAATAAAACACTCCGGATGCTATCCAGATGTATTTTGATATATCACGCCGAGCATCATATACTAGAATGTCTTTATTTTTATCCACCGAAGGTCCATCAATGTTTCTCATATCTTTGATCATTCGCAATGGATTCTCATAATACGAGTTGATCGATGCTGAGGATTTTGGGATCTTTGTATTTTGAGGAGCTTCCTTTTTTGTCAGTTTACAACTACGTGTGGAAAACGGTACCAGGTGACTTGGTTGGAATACCAAAACTTGGCCACTGACCTAGAAAAGAATATGTGGGTCATTAGAGAGATGAAGAGACTAGAAGATTAGAAGCCAGTCTTACTGCTCGTACACAACACAGTCTGCTAAATCTTGTCTTGTTTTTCAAAATTAATAAAATAAAAAAATAAAAATATTAGTATTTTGTTTTTGAAATTAGTCTTCAAAACTATGGATGACCTACACAAATTGAGCAAAACAACATGTATTTATTTCTATTCACACTTTTCTGCATGGCTCTAAGTACCTTAAAAATCAGATGGATTACCATATATCACCATGGTACCCCGGTACTATTAGATTTAAAAACTGGCAGTCAGACTTCTAAGATATTTTGTTTATTTCAAGCCCAGACAGTCGATTAAAAACAAAAGAGTCAATCTTCAAAAACCTGAAAATTTTAAATACTAGGGGTCAAAATTGAAATGATGCAGAGGGATGGAACTCGTGCAAATTTTTGTTGCGATATCTTGTCTGTACATTTTTATTTCTCTTGAATTTTGCCAACAGTTGTTCCTGCAACACCTTGTATGCAATTTTTTTCTATCGGTATCTAGCTTGCAAACTGTTTTTTTTAAAGAAATCTTTCAGCTCCCCCCCCCCCCTCATGATTTCAAATTGTCAACCCCTAATCACTTTTTCAAGCAAATAATATGCTCAAGCCCACTCTTAAATTTAGAAGAACTGTGACAATATCCACACCCCATGCCATTTGTCCCAGTGTTACCGTTTTAGAGTGGGTGTTAGTAATAACGCCGGGGCGAATTGTCTGGGACACAAAACCAACGATGAAGAACTTTTGAGTACTGACCGTAACCACGCCTCCTCTAGATGTTATCGGCGACGCGCACCATAGACGTCGCGATTGTTGAAACAACAAACGCGACATTACTCTCTTCAATCCTAATTAGTTGAAAGGTAAATATCTACGACAAAATTAGTAATTTTGCAAAGAAACTTTCACCACGCTCCTTCAATGGTCGCCGCCATTTTTATTATATAAATTGCTGTCTGAGGGCGTTAATCGTTAAATGGAAACGGCCAACAGAGGGCGTAGTATTTTTAGAAAAGACAGTCCTTCCTCAACTATGTCCATTCTCACTATTGAAAAAGTTGTTCATTCTCACTATTGAAAAAGTTGGCCAAGGCTAGATTTGAACCAATGACAGCAACCATGGCATGTGGGGACGCCAATGCCTGAGCTATAAGGATTTTGTTGGTTCATTACTGAAGATTTATAAAATTATTTATGAGAAAACGGCAAAGCTTTTAACTGACCTTTTAGTATTTATGCAAATTAAGTGCAGCCCAGTAGTGTCATAGTTAGCCCAGCAATGTGACCAGAATTTTGGGTTATATCTGTGTGTTTGCATCAACAATTGTATGCTTTGTAGTGCCTTCAGTCTTGTGATAGTTTATAATTATAAATCCACTCTAAAATGGATTGTGTGGCTCACAGTGTATGTTACATTTTGTATAGAAGGACAATGACCTGTAGAAATCACACCTGATTCACATATGCATGTTGCAAATCACATGCTTAGCTCATTCAGTTGAGTATCAATGTATTCACACAGCTCATTGATCTAGAAATTGTTGATTCAAATCCTGGGTGTTGCTGCTTAAAACAAAATTACATAGTGAGGAGAGTATTGTTCTCTCCATGTGAGATCATTAAGAACAGATACTGTTTAGAACAAAGGAGTACCTTTGTGAAGTAAATGCTGAATGCAGTTCTCTATCAAAGGTTAGTGGACTGTTAGAACAATAGAGTTGGGACAAATAGTAGTATTACTATACTACAGTTGTTGTTCAAAATATAATAAATTATAAAATGAGTGTACATGTGTGTTATTATATAGACTGTCCACAGTTCTTGGGCCTATATAATAAAGAGTCACTTAATTTCAAACACCGTAGACGTGTTAACGAAATGCTGAAGGCATTT